CAGGGAAGGCCTTCAGGTTTCATTCTAAGATTGAGGAATAGCCACTGGGACATTGGGGCAGTGGGGACACAATCTGATTCACATTCTAAAAGCATTTTTTTAAATTTTTTATTTATTTATGATAGTCACACAGGGAGAGAGAGAGAGAGGCAGAGACATAGGCAGAGGGAGAAGCAGGCTCCGTGCACTGGGAGCCTGACGTGGGATTCGATCCTGGGTCTCCAGGATCGCGCCCCGGGCCAAAGGCAGGCGCCAAACCGCTGTGCCACCCAGGGTTCCCTGATTCACATTCTAAAGGCTCACTCTGGCTGCTGTGTGAAGAGGCTCAAGGAGGCAAGAGCAGAACTAGGAAGAAGGCTAGAAGGCCACTGCAGGAACCTGGATAATCCCTGAGATTAATTCAGAATTTCTTAGGGGTTTGCAAACGGCATTAATTCATGACCTGCTCTTCATCTTGGCAGGCCTTGGGGCGCTGCTGCAGCAGACACAGAGTTAATGAATGAATGTGGGGGAAAAGGGGATCGTGCATGTGTGTGCACGATGTGTGCACACACACATACACACACACACAGAGGCACGTGCACATGAGCATGTAAGAATCAGGCCCATAGCTTCAGGTTCTAGCAAGGGACTGAATTCCCAGGGCACGATCCTCTTCCTGGGAGCATTTCTACATCAAATCCTCAACTCAAGGCTTTTCTACAAAATGATCATACCGTGCCCTGCCTATCTCCTGAGGCTTGAATGTGGACAAAAATGTCTACCTAGGAATTCCCAAGTCTTTAAATTTCTACCAGTGGTGGTGTTTTAACCTACTTCTGGGCCTCCTAGGTTTGCTGCGCTGGGAGGATGGCAGAAGGGGTAGTTCAATGTACAGAAAGGTGGAACTGAACTTCCCCTAACTCCAGGTGGGATAGGCAAACATTTTCTGCAAAAGGCCAAAAATTTTAGGAGGCCACATATGGTCTTTGTTAAACATTCTTCTTTGGGTTGGTTTTGGTTTGGTTTGGTTAGTTGGCTGTTTTCATTATAAAATATTTGTAACTGGGGAGCCTGGGTGGCTCAGTTGGTTGACCCTCTGACTCTTGACTTTGGCTCAGGTCATGATCTCAGGGTCATGAGACTGAGCTATGTGTCAGGCAAGCGTGGAGCCTGCTTGGGATTCTCTCTCTCCCTTTCTCTGCCCTTCCTCTCTGCAGCTCACTCACACTCTCTCTCTAAAAAAATATATAAATTTTTATTATATATATATTATACATATATTTTATTATATATTTATTTAATTTTAATTTTAAAAAATTAAAAATCAAAAAATAACATATACATAACATAAAATTTACCATTTTAACCATTTTTTATTTGATTTGATTTGGTAGTGAGAGAGGGCTCAAGAGCAAGGTGGGGAAGCAGGGTGGAGGGACAGGGAGAGAGGGAATCTTTAGCAGGCTCCATGCCCAGCACATAGTCCCGATGTGGGGCTGGATCTCACAACCCGGAGATCATGACCTGAGTCAAAATCAAGGGTCACATGCTTAACCAACTAAACCACCCAGACACTCCACTATTTTAACTATTTTTAAGTATATATTTCTGTTATTAAGTACATTCACATTAGTGTGCAACCATTGCCACTAGTCTCCAGAACTTTTTACATTTGTAAAGCTAAAACTCTATACCAGTTGAACATTAACTCCTCCTTCCACCTGCACTGCCCAGCCCCTGGCAACCACCATTCCTGCCAGCAACCACCATTCCTATTTTCTATCTCATGAATCTGACTACTTGAGGAAACTCACAGAAGAGGAATATGAGGTGGCCAGTTGGGTTCCTTCCACTTTTTAGTTATTGTGAATAATGCTACTACAAACATGGGTGTACAAGTATCTATCTGGGTCTCTTTCACTTCTTTTGGGTATATACTGGATCATATAATTCTGTTTAAATTTTTGAGGACTCACCATACTGTTTTCCTTTTTTAAAAAAAGATTTTATTTATTTATTCATAAGAGACACAGAGAGGCAGAGACACAGGCAGAGGGAGAAGCAGGCTCCCCACAGGGAGCCCAATATGGTACTTGTTCCTGGGACCTCAGGATCATGCCCTGAGCCGAAGGCAGATGCTCAACCACTGAGCCACCCAGGGGTCCCTGAACACACTGTTTTCCACAGCAGATGTACCACCAGCAATGCATAGGGGTTCCAATTTCTCCGCATCCTTGACAACACCTATTACTTTCTGCGGGTTTTTTTTTTTTAATTAATAGCCATGGTAATGGGTGTAAAGTAGTATCTCACTGTGGTTTTAAGATATTTGTACTTATCTAATGATTAGTGGTATTAAACATCTATCTTTTCATGTACTTATTGGCCATTTATGTATCTTCTTTGGAGAAACGTCTATTTAAGTCCTTTACTCATTTTTTGAAAAGATTTTATTAAAAAAATAAATAAATAAAATAAAATTAAAATAATTAAAAAAAAGATTTTATTTATTTATTCATGAGAGAGAGACAGAGAGGCAGAGACATAGGTTTGAGAGAGAAGCAGGCTCCATGCAGGGAGCCCAATGTGAGACTCGATCCTGGGACTCCAGGAGCATGCCCTGGGCCAAAGGTAGGCGCTCAACCACTGAGCCACCCAGGCGTCCCCCTTTCCCCATTTTTTAATCATGTTTGATTTTTTACTATTGAGTTAAGTCTGTTTTTTACAATCCTTTAAACATGTAAAAATTATTCTTCAGCTCACAGCTTATTACAAAAACATGTCATGGGCCATTTGACCCCTGAGGCCAGAATTTGCCCAACTCCCTCATTTTACATTTGAGGACAGTGAGCCCCTAAGAGAGGCAGTGACTGTCCCAAGTCTCCTCACTCTCATGTCAAGTTGTAGTGGTCTCTGAAGCCACTATTTCATTCATCAACAAAAATTTTTTTTTATATTTTATTTATTTGAGAGAGAGAGCAAGAAAGAGGGAGAGATAATGAGTAGGGGAGAGGCAGATGGAGAGGGAGAGGCAGATTCCCCACTGGGCACCTCTCTGAGCTTCTGTTTCACCATCACTAATACAAGATTGGCCTAGACCATGGCTTCTTTAGCCTTTTTGGAGTGAGAATTAACTCCTCTCCTCAAATATGAATACACAATATTATACATGATTTCAGGGTTTACTCAATTTGTGTCACCTTTCCATGGACCCCAAAATAACCCTTAGACTATATGACCATACAACCAAAGCTTAGAAGGCCTTCCTTGTATATGCTCTATATATGACAGTCCTCCAGCACCCCTAGAATGGGACAGGCAAGGGACCAAGGAGAGGGGACACCAGGGCCTGGGTCTCCCTTGCTCTCTACCAAAAAGTATCCATTACCATGAAGCTAGCCAGTGTATGCAAAGGTTCCAATCTACTTTTCAAAGTTTATCTTCTTTTACCCTTTCTTCTTTGGCCTATGCTCTAGGCAAATTGGACTATACAGATAGTATAGTGGAATATCCTTTCTTCATCTCCACACACCCAAACTCCGCCTGTTTTTTAAGGCTTCGGATGCCTTCTCTATTTTCCCCACCCCTTCTCCCAAACTAGAAGCCACCTCACCCTACTCTGAACACTCCCAGAACTCTGTCTGTAACCCTCTTAAGGAATTTATTATGTTCTCCCTTATATTATAGTTGTGCCTCCCCTCCTAACAGGTAGGAACAGCACCTTTTCCCCTTTATAAAGAGTCTTCTCACATATTCCTTATCTCATCTGAGTGAAAACTGGATACTGGCCCATTTAGACCTTGGTCTCTTGGCTAAACAATGGTCTCACCCAACTCCCTTAGGGGCAGCTCATCCATCCCCCTCCACCTCTGAGTGATAGACTCAGATCAAAGGCTCCCAATTGCCTTCCTCAGAAGTTCCAATTTCAGGATTCCAACACACTGGCATATTTGGTGCAAAAACTCCAAGGTAATTTCTCACTATTAATGAAGAACAAATTTAACAATTTACAAATGTAGAGCACCCAGAGTAGTGCCCAGCACACTATAAGCACTATATAGGTGTTGGGCATTATTAATACTGAAATTTTAATACTTATGAGACAGGTATGGCAGAGGCTTTTGGTGCTCTGTACACATCCATGAACCACTTCTGATTTCAGCTGCGGCTGCCTGGGACAGTGTTGTGCAGGTTTCCAGCAATCTCTCCTTCAGGACCCTATCTGTCTCCTTGCTTTTCTGCCCAGAGCTGCTGCTTCTCACAAGCTCACTCAGCCCATGAAGTACAGGGACATTCGTAAGCATTAATTTTCATCTGATGAATTACCTGCCTCCCCTTCCTACACCGCTACAACCTCCACCATTATCCAGGGGAAGATAACAGAAATCCTAATTAGAGCTTAATCGGTTAGTATCCCACTCCCTGGCATCTTTATCAACACCTTCCCGAGGAACTTCAGGCCATCTGCCTTTACTCTTCTGATCCTCCGGCTTTGAGCCCATTAGCACTTTTTCACGGGGCAACAACAGGCCGAGAACAGGGATGGCAGAGTCACAGGTCACACTGCCAAGAAAGGGATGAAAAGAGAGTAGAGGAGCCTTGAGACAGGCCTTTTTTCCGCCCTAGGCTCTTAGCAAAGCCAGCCTTCAAGGGGGTGACTACCTGAAGTACCTCGAGGCACAAAAAAGGCAGAGGCAGACTCAGAGACTGACACTGCGCAGGCGCGGGGAGGGGACTAGGGTTCCCTCTCAGGCTCACCCAGCTGCCTCCGCAAGGGCCAGAGGGAAAGCACAGCCCCGCGTGCGAGAAGCCTCCGTTCTGTACACCCCAATTCCTCTGAGACCCTCAGACCATCTAGGAAATGTATGGGAAACCACCTTCTGAGGCCCTCGGGCCGCCCCTCACTCCCTGCCTACAGCTCGCCCAAACCCGGAAAGCGGGTGCCAGGACTGTCGAGGCGCCAAGGCAGGAAGAACCTCCAGGCCGGTCGGATTCGGCCCTCCTCGCCACCTTCTCACCTCTTTGTCCGCCGCTTTCTCCTCGATACCTAGCAGCGCGTACAGGTCCATCTGTAAGAGCTCCTTGGCCACCGCCATGGTTCCAACCCTGACTGGATTCGTACTACAACTCCCAAGAGTCTAAGCGTGCGTAAGGATTCCCGGGGACTGTCACCCCAAACGGACTGAATGGCGCTTAGCCCCCTGGGAAATGTGTACTGGATCGGGCTTGACTGCCTCTGAGGGAAGGAAGTAGCCGTGAATGAACTACGCCTCCCAGCAGCCTCCGCGCCCGCCGTTCCCGCTCTCGGGCTAGTGTGCAGATCGCGGTTTTCCTGCCAAGGCCGCGGCAAGCACGCGCTGGGGGCGTGGGGCGTGGGGCGGGACTTAGTGAAAGTCCAAGGGTACCCGGACCTGATTGGAGTGGTCAAGGTTTTGTGGACCCTGCGTCGCCGCGCCGGCCACGAGAATGGAGAGTAGGTGCTACGGCTGTGCTGTCAAGTTTACCCTCTTCAAGAAGGAGGCGAGTCTTCTCCCCGCGGGCTCGAAGGGCCAGGGAGGACGGGGCGTGGAGGAAAAGTACAGGACTTGCAGTCAGTAGACTTGGTTTTATGGCCCCTTTACAGCAGTGTGGTTTTGATGAAGTCACTGAACCTCAGTTTCCATTTCTATAAAATGGGGCTAGCGCTCCCTCGCTTTCGGGGTTGGCACGAGGGTCCAGCGATGTGCTGGAGGTGAAAGTACCCTATAAACTGGAAACCGCCCTTCTGCCCTTTCTAGAAAGGTAGGCTTTTCTGTCCACCAAGTGTATGAGATACAGCTCTTTCCTTCTCTCCACACTGCTCCTCTGCAGCCCAGTCTTAGTTACTACCCTGCGATTACTCTCCATCACACCGTGCCCCTTACTCTCCGTCCTGAAATCTTCATCACACAGCCTGCCCTTACCAGGTTTCTTGAGTTAGATTACTGCACTTCGTCCTGCTCCCAGGGCACATGGCAACGTCTCTTTTTGTCTTCTGCACAGGCCCCTAAATTCTCCTAGTGAGCTTCCTCTGCTCAGTTGTGACCAGGATATAGGTACCGTAGTGAATGAATGAATAGCACAGTTAGGGGGGCAGATCGTGTAGCACTTGAAACCTGGGTTTTGGAATCAGGGTGGTCAGGGTTCAGGTTTGAGCTCAGCTGTCTTATCCATGGAATGACCTTGGTTTGAGCAAGTCATGTAACCTCTCTGACCCTAAGATAGGAATAATAATGGTGGTCATCAGGATTGAGTAACTACTGTGCATAAATTGTGAGCATTTTGTCGGCTGATGAATGTTACGTACTGAACTTAGTGCCTGGCACACAATAAGTGTTTAATAAATGGAGGCTATTGTTATACTGAAGACAAGCCATCCTCCATCTTTGCTAAGGCAGAAAAGGTAGAGCTCTGCACTCTGATTCTCCTATGTTGAAGAGTCAGTGGTCTGCAGCATGAAGTTTTACCTATTTGTTTTCTACACCCCAGTGTCGGGGAATTGAAGACAGGATAGAAAACATGGGAAGTTTGCATACAGCTTTACTTGATTTGAATAAAAGACTGGAGACTGAGGAATCGCCTTACCCTCCACCCCTGTCTTTCCTCAGGCCTTAGGGGCCCCACTCCTCCTCCTCCCAGCAGCTGGTCACAACTTTAGTGTCTTCCCTCTCTGTGTGCTTGGAGAGTCCCAGGGAGGAGCCTGCAGGGGCGGGTGAGAGATGGATCCCCTACTTCATGTTTCTTATAGTACGGCTGTAAGAATTGTGGCCGGGCCTTCTGTTCTGGCTGCCTTAGCTTCAGTGCAGCGGTGCCCCGGACTGGAAATACTCAGCAGAAAGTCTGCAAGCAGTGCCATGAGGTCCTGACCAGGTGAGAAGTTGACATGGGCAAGAGTTTAGCCAAGCATGGTACCAGGCAGCTGGCCAGCCCACACAGCTTTGTGCTCTGTGGCTAGAGATCAGCTCAGGAAGTGTTTGGAGTGGGAGGTACTGACTGGCAGATGGCAGGACTTCTGATACCAGTTTTCTTCTCTATAGAGGATCTTCTCCTGCCAATGCCTCCAAGTGGTCACCACCTCAGAACTATAAGAAGTAAGTGTTGAACGGACAGAGAGGCAAATAGGGATGGGGAAAAGACAAAGGAGCCAAAGAGTAGGACTCTCTTCCCAGCCTCTAGAACAAATGAGCACAAGGTCAGGAGAATATTATCTCTCAGCCTCCTGACTGCCCTCTTGGGCTCAAAAAGTAGCTCATCAGCCCTCTCCCCAGAAGACTGGGCAAGGTCTTTGGTAGACCTTGTCTTCTCAGCCAGACCCTCTGGTTAGTTAGCTGGATTGGGTTGCAGGGTGACATGAATGAGGACTACAGAATATTGTCCATTGGAGGCCTCCCTGGATGCCTAGAAATTATTTGAATGGGAAACGGTGAGTAGGTGCCTTCACCCCTTCCTTCTGCATTCTTCAAGAACCTTATCTCATACCCTGCCAGGCGCGTGGCAGCCTTAGAAGCCAAGCGGAAGCCCAAAACTCCTCAGAGCCAGGGACTGATCCAGCAAGACCAAGTCATCGCTGAGCGCCTAGCACGGCTCCGCCAACAGAACAAGCCCAGTGAGTGGGGGCAGACAGGGTGACCTAAAAGGTACCATCTAGGCCTCCTGGGACTAGGATTCCTCTGGGTCTTACAAGTCTTCTCTATACCAATTTCAGAGTCAGTGGCCTCACAGGCGGAGATAGAAGCCAGGCTAGCTGCACTGAGGGATGACCCCCAGGGTTCCATCCCTTCCACCCAGGAGGTGGAGGCACGGCTTGCTGCACTACAGGGCAGAGTTCTGCCTTCACAGACCTCCCAGCTGGTAGGTGCTTGTGGGGTACAGGGGTCCTAGGCTAAGGGCCTAGCAGAAGCCCAGATACATTGGCAAAACCTCCCACCCTCACCTCTTGAGCCTCAAGCCAAGGAACCAGGGACAAGCAGTAGGAAGGGGTGGGGCAGGAAGGAGTGTAAGATTAGTCCCCTTTCCCTGAGCTTTGGAACTCTTCAGCATCCACCCCTAACCTAGACTGTTCTGCACCTCACAGTTTTGCCCTCCCCCTAACCTGCTCCCCACTGAAGTTCCCTCCTCTGAGCAGGCACATCAGCCACCAGACACCAGGACCCAAGCCCAGCAGGCACAGGATCTGCTGACACAGCTGGCAGCGGAGGTGGCTATTGATGAGAGCTCAGAACGAGGAGGCCCAGGTAACTTCTGCACCTGAATCCCCCAGAGACCTGCCCCCCACTCTTTCCCCAAGTGGGAACAACCCTGCTGCCCACTCTCTGGGATACAAATGTAAATCAGAGAACAATCAACATTGTAAACCATGGTTTGCTCCAACAGGAGCCAGTGTAAGCCTCACAGATAAGTGTGTGGGCTTCAGAATCAGACAGTGATTTCTTATACTACCACTTAAACTAGCTCTGTGACCCTGGGGAAGTTACTTGCCCTAAGCATCACTATCATCATCTATAAAATGGAGGCATATGTGGTAAAACCCATCTCACAGGGAAATCACAAGAAGTAAATGAGATCATCTAATAAGCACTTAAGGCCCTGCCTGGCTCATAGTAAGTGTTCAGTGAATGTTCTCTGTGATGATGATGATAAGGATGATGAACAGGTTATTTAAATTTAATTAAAATTCAGTGAAATTTGGGGCACCAGGGTGGTTCAGTCGGTTAAGCATCTGATTCTTAATCTCAAAGCTCAGGTCTTGATCTTAGGGTTGTGAGTTCAAGTCTGTGTTGGGCTCCACACTGGGGGTGGGATCTACTTAAAACTAATAATAATTAAATGAAATTGAAACTTTGGTTCCTCAGGGCACCTGGGTGGCTCAGTCAGTTAAGCATCTGCCTTTGGCTCAAGTCCCAGGATCCTGGGATTGAGCCCCACATCAGGCTCCCTGCTCAGCAGGGAGTCTACTTCTCCCTCTGTCCATCACTTCACTCATGCGCTCGTGCTCTCTTTCAAATAATAAAATCTTTAAAAATAAATAAAATTCAGTTTCTCAGTGGTACAGCCACATTTCAAGAGCTATTAAACTACAGTCTTGGACAGCACAAATACAGACCATGATATGGAACATATCTGTTATTTCTTTTTAAGATTTTATTTATTTATTCATGAGACACACACACACACACACACACACACAGAGGCAGAGACACAGGCAGAGAAGGAGGCTCCATGCAGGGAGCCCAATGTGGGACTCGATCCCGGGTCTCTAGGATCATGCCCTGGGCTGAAGGCGGCGCTAAACCACAGAGCCACCCAGGCTGCCCACATTTCTGTTGTTATAAAAAAAAATTGTGTTGGACAGTTCTGTTCAAATGCTTCAGAGCAGTGATTCTCAACCAAGGATGATTTTCCCTCTGGGGCCATACAACAATATCTGGAGACTCTCTGGTGTCACAGCTTAGAGGGTACCACTGGCATCCAGAGAGCAGAGGCTAGGAATGCTGCTAAACATCATATAGTGCATTGGACAGTCCCTACAACAAAGAATTATCCTGTCCATAATATCAATGAATCAAGTATGAGAAACCCTGCTTTAGAGACATAATCACATTGAATGTCCTCCATAATCTTGTATATACTATTATCTATATTTTATAAGTGAGAAAACTGAGGCTCAGTGAGCTTAAGGAATTTGACCGAGGTCATGGGTATTAAGTGACAGAGCTGGGACTCAAACCCAAAGCTATCTGATTTTGAACCTCTGGTTCTGAAATGCTTAGCTAAAGGGGACCATGTCAAAGCCACAGCCACTCTGGTAGAGCTCTTCCTGCCTAGCCTTCATCTTTGTGTCCTCTCTGTGCTGCTCTCTGTAAATATGCAGTCCAGCCTGTGAGGCAGAGAGGCTGGCTGAGGCTTAGCTTCCCTGTGTCCTCATCTTGGGCAGTGATGCTCATACCATGGAATACCCACTCTAAGGGCAACATGTAAAAATATCAGGAGTAGAGATGGATGTAGTTGAAAAAAAAAACATGCCTAAGATTACTAGTATTTTGTATTTGGAAAAATGGAGGAAAGATTCATTTTATTTGTAATATAAACCACAGGAGCTAGTGCTGAACAAAAAAACTGATAATCTATGATTTTTATTTTATTTTAAGATTTTATTTATTTATTCATGAGAGACAGAGAGCGAGAGAAGCAGAGACATAGGCAGAGGGAGAAGAAGGCTCCCTACAAGGAGCCCAGTGTGGGATGTGGAACCCAGTACTGGATCCTGGCCTGGGATCACACCCTGAGCCAGAGGCAGAGGCTCAGCCACTGAGCCTCTCGGGCATCCCTAACCTGTGATTTTTATTATTTTTATTTTTTAAATATTTATTTATTTATTATTTATGATAGACACACAGAGAGAGAGAGAGAGGCAGAGACACAGGAGGAGAGAGAAGCAGGCTCCATGCCAGGAGCCTGACATGGGACTCGATCCCGGGACCCCAGGATGGTGCCCTGGGCCAAAGGCAGGCGCTAAAACACTGAGCCACCCAGAGATCCCCCCCTAACCTCTGATTTTTAAAGGAAGTTCAGAAATGGGCTCACTGGCTTCTGATGAGAGATCTTGGACTGTCTCTGCCTCCCTATTTCTCTCCTTCCAGCTGCCTCTATCCAGAATGACCTCAACCGAGGGGGCCCCGGGGGCCAAAGTGCTACTTCCAAGGGGCAGGCCACTCAGTCCCTGGAAGAGGAGAAGAGCAGGCTGCTGGCCCAAGCAGCCATTGAGCTGCGGGAAGAGAACACAAGGCAGGAGAAGATCCTGGCGCTCGCCAAGCGCTTGGCCGTACTGCAGGGACAAGACCCTGACAAAGGTAGAGGCTGGAAGTAGCAGCTCACTGTGTCCATCGGGCAGGCTTCCCCACTCACACCCCCAGGCCAACCTCTATAAAATGACTACTCCCTGCCACGCTTAGCCAGGTGCTGGGAATTCCTGTGCTCAGAGGTCTCTCAAGCTTTGCCCAGAGCCACAAGGAAGGTACTGGGGCAAAGAAATGGAAAAGGAATACATAGCAGTTGTAGGGCCTGGGGACCCTCAGTCCATTCAGGAGCTGTCTTCCGCTCCTGTCCTCTAGCCCTGAAGGGTAGGGCAGGGAGGGGCAGGATCTGATCAGTGGTGACAGAGGCTGCCTAGCTCTGGAACAAGTGCCACTAGAAAGCAAATCAGCTCCTGGGGGCTCAAGTACAGCTACTGAGGTGAACTCTCTACACATTACTCCTCCCCCCCCCCCCGTACCTGTTCCTCCAAGTGACCCTCCAGGACTATCACCTCCCAGACAGTGATGAGGATGAGGAGACGGCCATCCAGAGAGTTCTGCAGCAGGTAGGCCCTGCCTTACCCACCTGACCACCTCCTGTCCTGTCCCTGTCTCATTGCCCCACCACCTACCGCGCCCCATTCACCTTGCCTCCACTCTCATGCTGAAGCCACTCTGCAGCTCATATTCTGGCTGGGGCCCCACTGCCCTGCCCACTGGCCCCTTGAGATGGGGTATCAGTAGCCACAGGCAACAGATAAAGGGAGATGAGTTGAGAAGTTAAGGCCACAGAACATGGGATTATTCGTGGGGAAGAGGGTCAGTGTCTAGGCCTGGAATAGGGAGCTGCACCTCTTCACCCTGTCCACAGCTCACTGAAGAAGCTGCCCTGGATGAGGCAAGTGGCTTTAACATCCCTGTGGAGCCTGCTGTCCGAGCTCGGGCCCAGTCCTGCAGGGCAGAGCCTGAGGTGAGAAAAACCCCTGGCCACCACCACAGCCATCTGGTCCTGCAGTGATCTCCCACACCTTACTTTCCCCATTCCTCTCTGGTCCTGGCAGGTGGAGGCCGTGACCACCAGGCCTGAGGCTGAGGAAGAAGAGCTCCCCTGGTGCTGCATCTGCAATGAGGATGCCACCATGCGCTGCGCTGACTGTGACGGGGACCTCTACTGTGCCCGCTGCTTCCGGTGAGGGCAGGTGGAATGTTCTTTTCCACTGAGAGAAGTCAAGGGCCACCTATGATCCCTGACCTATCTGTCTCTGCTCCGTAGGGAAGGCCACGATGCCTTTGAACTTAAGGAGCATCAGACGTCTGCCTACTGCCCCCCGCATGGAGGCCAAGAGCACTGAGGAAGCCAGGCAGGCAAGCCCACAGGCAGTCATGCAGGCCAGTGCACCTGCCCCTGAGCCCAGCCTCAGGGCACCCAATGGAGGAGTGCGTCAGGCTAGACTGCTTGTGGATGTGCCCTTTCCTGAGCCTCAGTGTCCCCAGAAGGAGGAAGGATTCTCTATTCGAGATAATAACTGGGGGGGAGCCAGAGGGAAAGCAGGAGTCAGGAGCCCTCCAACAGCCAAGTCTGGACTGAGAGTGAGGCATGGTGGGGAAAGATGAGACTGAATCTAAGGGTGATGAGCCTTGAAGCTTGGTCAAGGGCCTAGGGCTCTTCCCTGGGACTTAGTGGATCTAATAAAAAATGTTGACTCCTTGAACCCAGCATCTCTTATCTCTAGAACCCTGTGGACTCTAAGCCTGAGCCCCTAGAGAGGTAGCAAGACCAGGACTTCGACGCAAAGTTCAGTCCTGTGGTGTGAGCAAAAAGGTGGGGCCACCCTGCAGGCTTCTCCAGGCAGAAACAGTCCCATCCACCTTGGAGGCCTCACATGAAGTAAGCATGGATATTTGCTTGGTTGATCTAAACTGTGCATCCTGCTCCAGGCACCCCAGTGTAGCCCCCAGGCTCTGCCATATTGGATTTCTCAGCCTCCCTGGTACTCAGACAATGCATGCACAAATAGTGAATGCATACCCTGCTTCCTGCCTAACTCCCAAAGGATGCCACCTCTCCGGGCTCCTGTCTCAACCTGCCTGCCATTCAGACCCGGTATCTTTCCAGCAACACCTCCAGAGCTGACTCCTAGCCTCTCTGCTTAGCTTCTGCTTTTTCTCTTTCTGCTGCTTGACTGGAGCCAGCTCTGGATAGTCCTCAGCCTGATGCATCCTGACTCATTTAGGGAGACAGCTAGGTTTTCCCTGTTACCTCTCCTCTGGCATTCAGAACTAGTATTTACAACCTGGGCTCCTGTCGTTGGTGATGGAGGATGCTGTGTGTCCTAGTCTGGTGCCCTCCGCTTGGCTTCTGGCCCTTGCTAGATTATGAGCTCTAAAGCAGAACTGTGACCTTTGAATTCTTGAGGCCAGTTTGGATAGAAGGACAGAGGAGGTATGGACAGAGCCTGGTGGCTCAGGATGCTGACCCTCTGGTATATCACTTTACCTGCCCACCCCACCCCCATCCCCCCACTGCCCATCCCTCAGGACAGATATGCTCCACACTCCATTCATCTGGCACTCCCAAAGGCTTTATCCACTTAGCTGCCAAGGAAAGTACTGGGCAGCAGCCATGAATGGCTTCCAGAAAGCCCAGCTGTAACTGCACATATACTAGGGGTGTCCAAATGTCCCTCCTCATCTTCCATGTTCCTTGTCAGTGTCCCAAAGGGCCATTGCCCTCTCAGCCCAGGATTCAGAGGTTCAGGGCAGGCCTGGCAGTGCTGAGGCTGCTGACAGTAGTCTCATAAGGCTTATTTCTGAGGCCGACTGAGTCTCCGGAGTTTCTTGAGTTCACTGAGCAGCTCAGAGATAAAAGGCTGAGAGAGAAACAGAGGTGAGATCAAGGCATGGGGTCACACCCACCCACCACACTGCCCTCCCTAATCTCCCCTCGACCCCATGTCTCTAGAGCTGGAGAAAAGGGGAAGAACCTAGAGCCAAGACTTCCTCTCAAATATTCCTTTCCATTAGCTGCCAACCCCCTAGGCCCTTCTTACCCCCAGAGCAGCAGGGCATCCCTTACCTCTGTAGGGCGGGGACAGTTTTGGAGAACAGCCTGGGTGGAAGAGAGCAAAGAGTGGGTTCCTGAGCCAAAGCAGTCTCCCACAAGCCTCTATGCAGCCTCTATGCAACCTCCCAGGAGTCCTCCCTTCTGAATTGGTTCTCCCCATGCCACTCAAGGAGGCAAAACTTGGGTTCCTGGGTTCCTCCCACTCTAAGCCCAGCCCTACATTCTACCTCCAAGTGAGTCTTCTGTTCCTCTGTGGATAGTTCCATGAGAGCCTCCAGGTCGATCTCAGGCTCAGGAGTTGGTTGATCCTGTTTGGGAATCACATGGGGCTCAGAGAGGCCTTGCCAGCTGGTGCTGGAGTAAAAGTCACTGCTCCCCCATTTCCTACCCTGCTTCTCATGTTCAGTCCATCTCCTCATCCTCCTCAAACCACCTGTTCATTCTTCCATTTAACACTTAGGACCTACTATCTCCTATCTGAAACAAGGCTAGAGTTCTTTAAAAAGAGTGTTTAATTTCAAAAGTTATGCATATTGTAGGTAAATATATAAAATAGTACAGCTGTTTTGGAAAACAGTCTGGCAGTTCTTTAAAATGTTAAATATAGAGTTCTCATCTGGGATCTGGGTGGCTCAGTGATTGAGCATCTGTCTTTGGCCCAGGTTGTGATCCCAGGGTCCTGGGATTGAGTCCCACATCAGGCACCTCACATGGAGCCTGCTTTTCCCTCTGCCTATGTCTCTGCTCCTCTCTGTGTGTCTCTCATGAATAAATAAATAAAATCTTAAAAAAATAAAAAGTTCTCATCTGCCCCAGCAATCCCACTCCTAGGTCTACTCTCAAGAGAAATGGAAACACAAACCTTTGCACATGAATGCCCATAGCATTATTCACAACAGCCAAAAGGTGAAAACAACACATATCTCCATCAACTGATGAATGGATAAATAAAATATGATGTAGCCATACAATATTACTCAGCAATAAAAGGAACAAAGCATTGACTCATGCTACAACATGGATGTACCTTGAAAACATTGTTAGTGAAAGAAGCCAGTTACAAAAGGCCACATATTACATGATTCAATTTGTATGAAATGTCCAGAATAGGTAAATCCATGGAGACACAAAGTACATTCGTGGTTGCCTAGGGCTGGGAGTGGTAGTGGTAAGGAATGAGGTGTGACTGCTAGTTGGTACAGGGTTTTTTCTGCGGTGATAAAATGTCTGAAAATTAAGTTATGGTTGTATAATCCCAACGATAATTAAAACTTTAGGAAGTGTGCATTGTAAGTGGGTGAAATTGTATGGCATTGTGAATCATTTCAATAAGGCTATCTTCAAAAGTTATTATAGTCAGTGAAATAATTGAAACAATAGAATTTATAATTAAAAATGAAAGGAGCTCAGGAAAATGAGAAGACAAGCCACAGACTGGGAGAAAATATTTGCAAAGGATGTACCTGATAAAGGACTATTGTCCAAAATAGACAAGTCTTGAAATTCAACAATAAAAAGGAAACAACCCAATAAAAAAAATGGGCCAAAGATCTGAGCAGATCTCTTACCAAAGAAGATATGCAGATAGCAAATAGCATAAGAGATGTTAAACGTCATATGTGATTAGGAAATTGCAAATTAAGACAACAATGAGATACACCACATACCTATTAGATTGGCAAAAAATCCAAATCCGAATGCTGGTGAGGATGTGGAACAGCAGGAACCTTCATTCATTGCTGGTGAGAATGTCAAATAGTATAGCCACTTTGGAAGCATTTTGGCTGTTTCTTACAGAACTAAACACACTTATACTATATGATCCAGTGATCAAGATCCTTAATATTTACCCAAGTGAATTTGAAACATAACCACACAAAAACCTGCATAAAAATGTTTATACCAGCTTTATTCGTAATTACCAAAACTTGAAAGGAAGCAATCTGTCCTTCAATAGGTAAATGGATAAATCAACTGTGGCACATCCAGACAATGGAGTATTACTCAGCACTAAAAGAAATGAGCTGTCAAGCCATGAAAAGATCTAAATGAACTGTAAACACCTAGAATAAGTGAAAGAAGCCAATCTGAAATTGGCCATACATTCTGTATGATTCCAACTATACCACATTCTGTTCTGCAAAACCATGAAGACAGTAAAAAGATCAGTGGGATTAACAGGGAAAGTGGGATGAATAGGTGGAGCACAGAGGATGTTTAGGGCAGAGAAAATACTCTGTAAATACTATCATGGTAGATACATGTCATTACACATTTGTCCAAACCATTTGTCCAACACCAAGAGTGAACCAAAAGCAAACTATGAACTTTGGGAGCTAATGATGGATCAGTGTAGGTTCACTGATTGTAAAGGGTACTGCTCTAGTGGGGGATGTTGATAGCGGGGGAGGCTGTGCACATGTGTGGCGGGGGAGGGAACATGGGAACTCTACTTTCTGCTCAGTCTTCCTGTGAACCTAAACTGCTCTAAAAATTAAGTCTATTAAAAAGGTGAATTCAAAGGTGTCAATTCAATTCACCAAGTTTTAATTAACTTAGTGGTTGACTGCTTCATCAAGGACTTTCTTAAGTGAAAGTGGCACGGTGGTAACGACTTGTGTTAGGAGTTAGTTGGACAATTAGGTAGTCAGGGCCAGGATCCCCAACAAGAAAACAGCTGTCTTAGCTGGGATAGCTAAGACAAAACTGCACTAGAATTCTGATTTACAGCTTAGATGAGACCACAACAGCATCCCATCTAGCACCCTCTGCAGAAGTGACTTTTGCGAAACTGCCTGAAATGAAACAACCATAAACCTCAACTTGTCACTATCACAAGTTGAGACGGTCTCCAAATGTCAGCCCAGAAGACCATTAACACATGAACAATAACCTGATAGGTATACAGGTACACAATCAAAGCCCTGATTGGCACATCTTCGGAGACAATCCACAGGGGGCCCACACTCAGGATGCTCATTATAGTTCTGCAAAATAGCTTATAAAAACCCCTAGATTTGAATGCCAAAATGGCAATCCTCTCGGGTCCCCACTCTCTTTGGAAGCTTTGTACTATTGCTCAATAAACTTTGCCTTCCTGCCCATCACGCTTTGTCTGGCTTACCTCTTCATTTTTCTTTTTTTCCTATTTTTAATTTAATTTAATTTAATTTTTTATAATTTATTTTTTATTGGTGTTCAATTTGCCAACATACAGAATAACACCCAGTGCTCATCCCATCAAGTGCCCCCCTCAGTGCCCCTCACCCATTCACCCCCACCCCTCGCCCTCCTCCCCTTCCACCACCCCTAGTTCGTTTCCCAGAGTTAGGAGTCTTTATGTTCTGTCTCCCTTTCTGATATTTCCCACATATTTCTTCTCCCTTTCCTTATATTCCCTTTCACTATTATTTATATTCCCCAAATGAATGAGACCATATAATGTTTGTCCTTCTCCGATTGACTTACTTCACTCAGCGTAATACCCTCCAGTTCCATCCACGTTGAAGCAAATGGTGGGTATTTGTCATTTCTAATGGCTGAGTAATATTCCCTTGTATACATAAACTACATCTTCTTTATCCATTCGTCTTTTGATGGACACTGAGGCTCCTTCCACAGTTTGGCTATTGTGGACATTGCTGCTATAAACATTGGGGTGCAGGTGTCCCAGCATTTCATTGCATCTGTATCTTTGGGGCCTCTTCATTTTTCAAGGTGCTCTGACCAAGACCACAGTCACGAAGGGAATAAAAGTTCCTGTAACACTAGTACAGGATGGTGCCACTTTCTTCCTTTCCTTTAAGTTTATTATTTAATCTCTACATCCAGCATGGGGCTTAAACTCACAACCCCAAGATCTTGCATACTCCTCCAACTGAGCCAACCAGGTGCCCCCATTGCCACTTTCTCACTACGGGCCACCACTGTTTTTGTATTATCAGTGCAAATGTCAACATAGTGAAAAAGGCAATTGACATCTCAGTATTATTATTATGAAAATAACTGTAAGCCCTCTGAAAGGGTCTTGGGAACACCAGGGTCACCAGAATATGCTTCAAGAGCTGCTGTCTTGGGACGCCTGGGTGGCTCAGTGGTTGAGCATCTGCCTTTGGCTCAGGGCATGATTGTGGGATCCAGGATCAAGTTCTGCATGGGGTTCCCTATGGAAACCTGCTTCGCCCTCTGCCTTTGTCTCTACCTCTCTCTGTGTGTCTCTCATGAATAAATAAATAAATAATAAATAAATAAATCTTTTAAAAATGAAGATTTTTTTAAACTTTTATTTTTTTAATTTTTATTTTTTTAATATTTTTAAAATGTATTTGAGAAAGAGAGAGACAGAGATAGCATGAGCAGAAGGGGAGCAGTGGGAGAAGCAGACTCACCACTGAGCAGGAAGCCTGATGCAGAGCTTGATCCCAAGACTCAAGGATCATGAATCTGAGCTGAAGCAGACACTTAACAGACTGAGATACCCAGGCACCCTAAATATTTGTTTGTTTGTTTGTTTGTTTGTTTGTTTAGAGCACAAGTGGTGGGAGGGGCAGGGAGAGGGAGAGAGAATCTCAAGCAGACTCCCTGCTGACCACAGAGCCTGGACACAGGGCTCAATCTCACAACCGTAAGATCATTTGACCTGAGCTGAAATCAAGGGTCTGTCACTTAACCAACTGAGCCACCCATGGAAATACCATTCATGTGTGACAAAGGAGTTGGGGAAATATCTGTGTTTATATAGTTTAATGTAACTAATAGTCTTTTCCAGGTTGGATTTTGCTGCTGCTGCTGCTATTCTTCTTTTCCTTCTCCTTCTTCCTTTAATACTTGGTAAGTTCTTCTCATACTCATTTGAATAAATATTTGATATTCACCTTTACATTCTCTAGAGGTTTGATAATTTCACTTTTTCCTTTTGATTATTTAATCCTTTAAAAACTATTTACTCAACAAATATGTGTTCAGTTACTGCTATTAATGTGGTACCATGAACTTGGGAATTTCAGTGAACAAAAGAAAGATCCTGTCCTCCAAGAGTCCACAAGTTAGAGGCAAGTGGAAGAAACATAATAGAAACAGATACAATAAGTAACAAGTATAATTTGTCTAAAGGTTATTTGGAGGAACTTTTTAGACAACGGAAATGTTCCATATCATAATTGGGGTAGCAGTTACACCTGGCAAAGTGCATCCCAATATACACTTCAAATTTTATTTTCTGTCAGTTATACCTCAATAATGTTGGTGTTTTCTTTTTAAAAAAAGGAAAGAAAGGAGTGCCTAGGTGACTCAATCACTTAAGCATCTG